ATGTAGAATGTGGGGCCATGTCTGTAATTTATATGCAAATGTCAAAAGGCTAAAAGGGTTTCTAAGACATAAAGCCCAAACGATCGTCAATGATCCTAAGCAGATGCTACAGATTTCCCCCCTTTTGGCTGACGAAGTTCACCTATAAACATCGTCGGACAACAGTTGTAGTTGAACATGATCGGACAGCAGGTGGATCATGATGGCTAGATGGCAGGTGGATCCTGAAGGCCGAATGGCAGGTGGATCCTGATGGTCAGATGGCAGGTGGATCATGAAGGCCCGATGGCAGGTGGATCATGAAGGCTGCATGGCCAGTGGTTTCTAATTTTTCTCAGCCTTTGGATCCTCAGCTTGGGTGTTTCTGTTCATGGACCTTTGCACCCCGTTGACTCTGTTAAACAGGACAAAGGCAAGGAAGAGAGTTAGGGTGTACCCAATTGCTGTGGCGAGGCAAATGGAAGGGGTCCAGGATCGGGCAATGGGAAAGTTGGTCTGGACAGGCAGCCGAGACAGTGCTTGAAGGGCTGTGTCGATTGGGAGGATGTCAATCATCTGGAACCCCCCTTCCTCAATGCTCAGTTCCAATTCAGGTTCCAGGGTGAGACTGTGGTCCTTGAAGAACGCTGGAATTTCTACCTCGGATTGGTACTCTTCACTTGCAAGGTGGTACAGCGCCAGGTCCCCGAGGTGGAGGATGCTGGTCATAGGTCAGTGTCATGCTGGTCATAGGTCAGTGTGGCAGTACGGATGGGCGTGTTGACGAGCCACTGATTTCCCACAATCTCTACTTGCGTTTCTGTGACTTGTGCGCTTGGCCTCAGCAGGGCAGAGTGTCTCTCTTTGCATGGGTTGTAGCCCGCAGATTCCTTCAGTGTTGTCTCGGAAGAAGGGCTTGCTGGGGCAGAGATAATGAATATCTTTGGTCAGGGTACACATGTGCAGGTTTGGGGCCAGGTATAACTGTGGGTTACTGTCGTGGTAGGCTACCATATCTGGTGTGTGTATCCTGATGTGAGTGTTTCCTTGCCAAAATCCAACATTGACAATGTTTTGAGTCTTTGAGTCTTAAATGTTGTCGGATTCAATGATGGGTAGATTCAGAAGAAACGCCATCTCGCTCTACTCGGGGTCGACATGTAGCAGGATGGATCCTCCCAGGGAGTAGGCAAGGTGGGCTTTAAGAGAGTCAGCTGGACGGGTAGTAACAGAGGATAACACTGTTTGTACTAGGCTCAGGGTAGGGCTGTGCAATTAATCGAAAAACTAATTCGATTTTGGCCTCCAACGATTATGAAAATACAATAATCGAGTGCAAATCAGTAAAATCATGTAACGTGACTTTCACAAAAATGGAATGTGCTTGATTTATTAAAGTTTATTAAACTTATTCGTGTTTTTTAAGAGCGCGAAAGAGAACTTGCGCTGTTCCTCAGGAGGCTTTCTGTGCATACGCTCAGAGACGGAACAGAACACAGACATGTAAAGTCATCTTTTAGCTCAAGGTGCGCGCCTAAACGGTCAAATACATGCAAAAATGTGTCAAAATGTGGTGCTTAGTGATTATTCATGTATACCTTCGTCGGTCATGTAATAAATGAACATAAAGAGTTGAGAATGAAAATACGCGTGTAACGGTAAATTGGATCCGTAAAAGTCTATCTCTTAAAGTAAAAGTGGGCTATTTTCCTGCTGCGACTGTGTACTTAATATTAATCAAACAACAAAAGACAAAATAACAAGTTACTAATTAATCTACAAGTTATTAGCTAGATAGTAAGCGCTACAAGATGTCATAGCAACCTTATTTACAGGAAATATATTTGATATGTATCACTATCTTTAAATAAATCACTCATATAAAGTTTTGGTCATATGGCCCCCTCATAATCGTGTTAAATAATCGTGATTACAATATTGGCCAAAATAATAGTTTCACGGAGTTCACAATTTGGTTCAGCAGGACACTGTGAGTGTTTCGAACCATCAAGGTGCCCTATAATAATTTGCCTATAGTCTGTAACTCAGCTGGGGCATCTCAGTCTGGATCTCCCTTACATGTTGCCTCAGGGTAGATAGGCTCACGGAGTTGACGCTGGTAACTCCCAGGTTGAACAGGGTTCCAACAGCTGCTCCGAGCAAGGCCCCGTTTGGAAATCTTAAACAGGGCAGACAGGAAACCACGCAGGCCTACTACAACAGGCTCAGACAGGCCTACTTCGGAGCATGGAACGAGCCAGGAATGGAAGAGGATTTCAACTTCAAAACTCTCAACTTCAAAAAACAGGAATCGTTTGTTATGCCTGTTATGTCCGCTTAGCTCTGCTTGAGTGACAGTCATTTTCTGCAACTGAGAGAGCATGTGTTTGATATCGGCTTCTGCGTGAGCGAGGGTATTCTCAGTCCAGCGGGCAGCTGCCCAACTGTAGTGTGTGGTAGTGTGTCCGGTAGACATTTCGGGGGTCGAGTCGTACATACACCTTTTGGGTGTGAGTCCTACAGTTGGTCACAAGAAGTCCAGGTTGGTCCCTCAGTGCAATGCCTGATGCTGAACCCGGTGATGTGATATCGGGTTGTGGCTTTCCTCTGTTTGGAGGACACAGGACAGTGAGCCACAGCAACATCCTGATACAGAGAAGAAGAAAGCCTAGTTAGCACTACCCCCCCCCCCCATCTTTCCCTGCCAGCAGTCACATGTCTCTTGATCTGGTTACGATGGACCCATTTGAAAACTGGTTCTTTCTGTCCTCGGCTCAGCTTGATCCGGTATGCGACATGGGAGAGTTTGTCCACAATCTCATGCGGTCCCGTCCAGTGTGGCAGAAACTTCTTTGATAGCCGATGAGAGGTTGCCTGAAGCGACTGTGTGTAGCTGTAGTACCAGACCCTGTCGCCCACATCCAGTTCTTTGTGTGACGCCTTCCGGTCGTAGTATGCTTTCTGGCCTTCTGCACTCTTTTGGAGTCATTGTTGGCCGAAAGCAAATGTGATTCTCAAATGCTGGTGTAGTTCATCAAGGTATGGGGGAGGGGTGTAGGCGGTGACAAGGTTGGAGTCTCCTGGCTGGTACAGCAGGTGCAGGGGCAATGTCATTTGCCGGCCTGTCATTAGCTCAAAGGGAGGCACATCTGTTGACTAATGTGAAGTTGCTCTGATGGCCATGAGCACCAGGGAAGTTTTACATCCCAGTCCTTTTGGTTAGGATACACATATTTTCTTAGCATGCTGACCACAGTCTGATTCGTCCGTTCCGCTTGGCCCGAAGAGATTGGATGGTGACTGATGTGCAGTTGCATTTGTACTCCCAAATCTGCTGCATGATCTCAGCTGTGAAGTGGGTGCCTCTGTCTGAGTTGACTCTCGGCGGTAGCCCAAACCTGGAGAAGACTTGACCTGGGTAGGGGTCCGACCCAGTCAATTTGGAGGTCTGACCAAGGAAATGTGACTCCTCTGCACTGCAGTGTAGCTCTGTGGTTTGGGTTCGCCGATTGGAATTGGCAGCAAACAAGGCATCCTTTCACATACTCTGCCACATCTTGCTGCATGCCGGGCCAATATGCCACTTGTTTCAGTGTCTCATAAGTGGCTCTTGTGCCGTGGTGTCCCGCACATGGTGCGTCGTGGGCATACATCAGCATTACCCACCTTTGGCACTCAATGCCCCGTGGTCCGATGAGCAGGCCCACATAGTTGACCTTGGTTTTACACCATTGTCCTCTGTGGAAGGCAATCTTGGCACCGGCAGTGGTCAATTGGTGCAGGACATGGTCAATTTCTTTCAGGTGATCAGCTACTGTCGTGTGTTTCATCAGAAGATCATCAACATAATTTAAGTTCCCTCTTACCCTGGCATCTGGGCATGCTTTGTTGGTTCGTACGATTCAAGGGGGATCTTGTATTGCTTGACAAAAGTGGGTGGAGCTTTTGGGTGCGTTGGGACACGCACAACATGGAGGTTAGTGAGGCCACAATCTAAAGAGTCCTTGGCAAACGATTCCTTGTATTTGTACAGGACTTGACGGAGTTTGTGGCGGTCTGCATCCTCCTGTATGGCATCAGCATCTTTCAGAATTTGCTGGACTTGTGTCTCAAAACCTGGGTATGGCTCTTCTGTCATTACTTCCTCTGTGCTGTGGGCAGTCAGAGGTGCAGTCACGCTGTCATTCTCACAGGTGGAGTGGTTAGAGACTGTGTACACGGCAAGGTGTTGGTCTTCTGTTAGCTCTGTCCTACACACCTGCTGCTTCACCACTGGCATGACTGAAGTTATCGTGATGATCTTGAAGGGTGCTGTTGACACTGTGTGGCCTGAGCTTTCTTCTGGAATCATTGAATCTGAGATGGGTCCAATTATTGGTAGAATCAGTTCAAAGTCATGGAAGTCATAACTCACTAGCCACCCCAGACGGTAGGCCTTAGGCACTCTGACATCCATTGCCGTGCAGTTGTTGAACAGGATGTACACTACCCGAGATGTCACTTCAACACAGGGTGTGGCTTCCAAAGTGAGGCCCAGTTCCCCACATTTGGGTGAAGGTTGGAAGAAGCCTAGGGTGTGGCTGAGAGCTTGGCTGCTTCGCAGGTTGAGTCGAACAGCGACCCCTTTGGTGTAAGCTGGTACTACAGTCTCTTGTTCATTGATTAGCGTGCAGGCCTCAGGGATGGTTTGGCCTGACAGGAGGTTCTCGAGGTTGACAGGAACAGTGGGGGACTGTGAGGTCATTGGAGCCCATATCACTTCATTGATCATGTCCACTTGAGCCCTGAGGAGAGTCAGAATGTCTGCTCCGATGTTGACATCATGCGGTGCGTCTGGAAGGACCAGGAAGTAATGGGTTAGACACCTGTCATTCCACCTCACGTTCAGGGCACAGATGCCCTTGTGCTGTTTGAGAGCATTGAACAGTGAGAGGCTGATGGCTGAATTGTCTGCCCACAGTGCTAGTATGGGGCCAGTTGTTGTGACATCATTCAGCTGTAAGTGAATGAGTATTTGACTAGCTGGAAAGTACAGAGCAGCGACCTTGAACCTCGCTCTTGGTCCGAGACGTTCCCGCGGCTGGCGGCGAGATTTTATGTGACCTTTGTGACCTAGCAGTCTGTTCGGGCGATCTGGGTGACTGAGGAGGCAGAGGTTCTCGAACTTGAGCCCATATTTTCAGTTGTTAAAGTCTAACAGGGGCTCAAAGCGGTCTAGCAGGTCTTTGCCAATGAGAAGAGGATATGTGTCCATTGGAGAGATGCACACATGGTGCACTAAACTCATAGGGCCGAGCTGAAATGGGAGCTAATTGTTCCAGTTGGACATAATTTTGGCTGTATGATTGCACAATCAGCACACACCTCTGATACTTAAGAGTTTGATTCTCTCTTGGCTGCAATATGAAGTCTGTCGAAGAGTTGGACAGACATTAAAGTGAGGTCAGCGCCGGTGTCCACCAGGGCCTCCAGTCTCACCTCATTTTCCAATGTGATGGCCAGGTAGAGTTTTTTGGCCACCTCCCTTTCGATTAGGTTCCCCAGGAGTCTTGGTACTGGGGCTTGTGTGGTGACTGGCAAGCAGTCAGAGCGCTCTTCTGTCATTACTTCCTCTGTGCTGTGGGCAGTCAGAGGTGCAGTCACGCTGTCATTCTCACAGGTGGAGTGGTTAGAGACTGTGTACACGGCAAGGTGTTGGTCTTCTGTTAGCTCTGTCCTACACACCTGCTGCTTCACCACTGGCATGACTGAAGTTATCGTGATGATCTTGAAGGGTGCTGATGATACTGTGTGGCCTGAGCTTCCTTCTGGAATCATTGAATCTGAGATGGGTCCAATTATTGGTAGAATTAGTTCAAAGTCATGGAAGTCATAACTCACTAGCCACCCCAGATGGTAGGCCTTAGGCACTCTGACATCCATTGCCGTGCAGTTGTTGAACAGGATGTACACTACCCGAGATGTCACTTCAACACAGGGTGTGGCTTCCAAAGTGAGGCCCAGTTCCCCACATTTGGGTGAAGGTTGGAAGAAGCCTAGGGTGTGGCTGAGAGCTTGGCTGCTTCGCAGGTTGAGTCGAACAGCGACCCCTTTGGTGTAAGCTGGTACTACAGTCTCTTGTTCATTGATTAGCGTGCAGGCCTCAGGGATGGTTTGGCCTGACAGGAGGTTCTCGAGGTTGACAGGAACAGTGGGTGACTGTGAGGTCATTGGAGCCCATATCACTTCATTGATCATGTCCACGTGAGCCCTGAGGCGAATCAGAATGTCAGCTCCGATGTAGACATCATGCGGTGCGTCTGGAAGGACCAGGAAGTAATGGGTTAGACTCCTGTCATTCCACCTCACGTTCAGGGCACAGGTGCCCTTGGCAGTCACCATAGCTGATGGGCAGGGATTCAAAGGGAATCGTGTGCGCTTGTTAGCAAAATGAATGTTCGTTGTGTGCTGTTTGAGAGCATTGAACAGTGAGAGGCTGATGGCTGAATTGTCTGCCCACAGTGCTAGTATGGGGCCAGTTGTTGTGACATCATTCAGCTGTAAGTGAATGAGTATTTGACTAGCTGGAAAGTACAGAGCAGCGACCTTGAACCTCGCTCTTGGTCCGAGACGTTCCCGCGGCTGGCGGCGAGATTTTATGTGACCTTTGTGACCTAGCAGTCTGTTCGGGCGATCTGGGTGACTGAGGAGGCAGAGGTTCTCGAACTTGAGCCCATATTTTCAGTTGTTAAAGTCTTCAAAGCGGTCAAAGCGGTCTAGCAGGTCTTTGCCAATGAGAAGAGGATATGTGTCCATTGGAGAGATGCGCACTAAACTCCATTGGAGAGATGCACACATGGTGCACTAAACTCATAGGGCCGAGCTGAAATGGGAGCTAATTGTTCCAGTTGGACATAATTTTGGCTGTATGATTGCACAATCAGCACACACCTCTGATACTTAAGAGTTTGATTCTCTCTTGGCTGCAATATGAAGTCTGTCGAAGAGTTGGACAGACATTAAAGTGAGGTCAGCGACCAGGGCCTCCAGGGCCTCCAGTCTCACCTCATTTTCCAATGTGATGGCCAGGTAGAGTTTTTTGGCCACGATTAGGTTCATTAGGTTCCCCAGGAGTCTTGGCACTGGGGCTTGTGTGGTGACTGGCAAGCATTCAGAGCTGGTCTCGTGTGGTTTGTCAGGGAGATGCACCAAAACAGTGCTTTCTGATACTTTGGGGTCCTGGCTGGAGGTGTGTTGCAGGATGTTGGCAAGTGTGGTGCGGGATATCTGGCTCTGTGATAGTGGATTAGCAGTGATCTGGTTGGGAGGTTCATTTTGAGAGGACTCCGAGTGGGCGTTGAGGTCAGATCTCATGCTTAGTCATAACTGATCTGTCTCGTCCTTTTTGTCTCCCTTGTGGTGCTTTTTCTGGAGGAGTTCCTTTAACAGTCTCATGATCTCTGCTGATTCAGACGTAACTTCCCTGTTCTGTTCTGCTGATGGTTTATATTTGGGCTTGTCCAGGGCATGTTGAGAGGGGTTCTGTTGCTGGCAGTCTGAGCTTGATGCTTGTGTCGGTTCCCCTTGGGCCGTCTCTTGGCTTCCCATGTGGCTCCACCCTTTCGGTTGAGGGGTGGTTGTGACCTGTCCCAGGATCTCTCAGGGGGTCCAGTCTGGTGCTTAGGACAGGCACCGCCATGGCCATGCTGCTCTCTGCTGGCTGGGAAGGATCTTGACATTGAGTTGACAGGTTTGTCACTGTGGCTTGGCTCGGCGCCCTCTAGAGTTCTAAGTTCTGAACTCTGATTAGCGACAGGATAGATTGTGGGGCTTTTCCCGTCTTTTCAGAAGCAGTCCTTTGTTTGGCATAGGCCTTATGGGCTAAGTCTCGCAGCTGTTGGGTGGACATAGTCTGTGGGCAAGCCAGAACCCCCAAGTGGTGACTCACTGTTGGGTGCAGGTTCTGGAGGAACAGAGTTTTGAAGTTGAAATCCTCTTCCATTCCTGGCTCGTTCCGTGCTCCGAAGTAGGCCTGTCTGAGCCTGTTGTAGTAGGCCTGCGTGGTTTCCTGTCTGCCCTGTTTAAGGTCCATGGTCGTAATCAGTCCTTGCTCTGACTCTGGGTCAACTCCTTAATCAAAGCCTGCTGCAGTTGCTGGTAATCCACTTTGACCGTTTCTGGCTGCCAGTCTAGAAAGCTCCGCACCTCATGGCTGGAGGTGATCCTGAGCAGATAAAGTCTGTCTCGTGTGGTAACATTGGCAACAGTTTGCAAGTGAAAGTCAATGTCCTTTAGGTAGGCGTGCACGTCGTGGCCTCCTGCAGGTTTTGGAGTGAAAGTGGGAATATTTCTAGCCAGCTTATCCAATTCTTTAGGTGACACACCGTGACTGGAAGACAGACTTGATGTCTTGAGCAGTGGGTTCTCACCCTCCTTTCGAACTGGGAATTCTTGACTAGGAAGTAACAGTCTACTGGTTAGGGGAAATTCTGTGGTGTGCATTTCCCTTTCAGCGTCACTTTGCAGTCTGTATGCATGTTTAAGCTCCTGGTGAACCGTGTCAAGTTCTTCTTTTAAATAGTCTCTTTGTTGGGTCAGGGCATTGACTTCAGCCCAAGAACTTTGCAGGTGGCCTTCGCAGGCCTTGGCCCTGACATCTCTCTCTTTAAGTTCAGTCGCTGCTCTCATCGCTGCTCTCTGGTGTCCTTTTCCCACTGCTCTCGGCGTGCTGTGTCTACACGGAGATCAGTCAAAGAGTTTCTGGAGTCTCTCTATTTCGTCCTGCAGCTCTGGGTCCTTTTTGTCCACCGTCCTG